TGGCCGTCAACGAGCATTTTCGCAAGCTGGGCGACCTGTCCGAGCACAATGGCAGCGACCTGGGCGACGAGCAGGAATCGGTGATGTCACCGAAACAGACGCATTCACAGGGCGCCGGCACGCCCACTGGCCACCTGCCGGGCGTGGCAGCTGGCGGCAATGTGGCCGGCGCCATAGATACGCGCGTGCTGCTGCATACGCTGATGCTGGCAGCAGGAGTCGGGGTGATGCCCAAGCTGGATGAGACGCAAACGTTGGGCGATCTGTTCAAGACGCTGCTGATGGCCAGCAGTGGCGGCATTCTGGGCCAGGAGAGCAACGGCAGTGCCACACTCTTGCAGCAGCAGCAGCAGCAGCAACAGCAACAACAGCAACAGCAACTCAATGCTGTTGCTGCCTTTCGTCGTCATCTACCAAAGTCTGAAACGCCGGAGACTAGCTCCTCGCTGGATGCCAATGAGGCGTGCGAGGATCCTATACTGAAGATTCCGTCCTTCAAGGTCAGCGGCGCAACCAGCGTCTCGCCCACCAACAGCAACAATGCCAACGCCAACATCATCGTCAACAACAACAGCAGCAGCAACAACAACAACAATAGCAACAGCAGCTGCAACAACAACAACTCCAGCAGCAATCGCAACGGGGATCACAGTCCACACTCCGCCTCGCCGATGCTGGCAGCAGCTGTTGCCGTTGCAGCCGCCAGCAACAGCTATCGCAACAGCAACAACAGCAGCAGCAGCAACAATCTGCTGTCGCCGACAGCAACATCCATACAGAAGATGATGGCCAACACCATACAGCGCAAGATCAACGAGCAGAGCAACCAGGACAGTCTCCTGGGCCTGGACAAGCGCAACAATGGCAACACCAGCGGCAGCGAGTGCAGCAGCAGCGGCGGGGGCGGAGGCGGAGGAGGCGGCGGCAGCACCAGCAGAAAGCCCAGCATATCGGTGGCCAAAATAATCGGTGGCACGGATACCTCACGCTTCGGTGCCTCGCCCAACCTGCTCGCCCAGCAGCATCACAGCCATCTGAGCGCCCATCATCATGCCCACGCGCACACGCATCCGCATGCGCACCACCAGCAGCAGCAGCAGCAGCAACAGCAACAGCAGCTGAGCGCGCAGGAGGCAGCGGCGCTGGCAGCTGGCAAGGGCACCCGGCCGAAGCGCGGTAAGTACCGCAACTATGACAGAGACAGCCTGGTCGAGGCCGTCAAGGCAGTGCAGCGCGGCGAGATGTCGGTGCACCGGGCCGGCAGCTACTACGGCGTGCCGCACTCTACGCTGGAGTACAAGGTGAAGGAGCGGCACCTGATGCGGCCGCGCAAGCGTGAGCCGAAGCCCCAGCCCGATCTGGTCGGGCTGACGGGCGCGGCGAATAAGGTGAACGCCAATCTGGTGGGGCTGAATCATCTGGACAAGCTGAAGGCGGGCAACAGCAGCAGCGGCAACAGCAGCAGCAACAACAGCAGCAGCAACGTCGGCTCCAAGCTGAGCAACGCCCTGAAGAACAACAGCAGCGCGGCGAGCGCAGCGGCCGCTGCCACGCCCAACGGCCTGAAACTGCCCATTTTCGATGGGGTTCAGCCGTTGTCCTTCCAACCGACCATGTTCTGGGCGCAGCCGAACGCCGGCGCCAACTATGGCCTCGACTTGAATCGCAATAACGACTTTCTGAACAACCATCTGGCCGAGGTGATACGCGGCAGCCCGCTGGGCGTGGCGGCCAATCTGAACCACGGCCATGTGCCGAGCGTGCACATGAAGAGCGCCCTGGAGTACGCGGAGAACATGTACGACGGCATCATACGAAAGACTCTCAAGCAGAACGACAGCGATGCCATTCTCAACAGCAGCGGCAACAACAGCAACAGCGGCAATGGCAACGGCAATGGCACCGGCAATGGCAATGCGCTGCTGGATCAGCTGCTGGTGAAGAAGACGCCGCTGCCGTTCACAAACAATCGCAACAATGACTACATCAATGCCACCTGCTCCAGCTCAGAGTCGAGTGCGAAGCGTCCGGGCAGCCCGCTGGGCGCCTATGCGGATATCAAGCGCGAGCGACTCAGCCCCATGCGCAGCACGGCGAGCGCCAGCAGTGAGGACGAACAGGATGCCCATGTTAACACCACCAATAACAATAACAACAACAACAACAACAGTGAGCTGGCCCACAACAAGAACAACAATGGCAATGGCAACGGGCGCAGTCGGATGACATCGCGCGACTCGGAAACGGACGCCAGCAGCTTGAAGAGCGAGCAATCGCTCAGCTCGGCAGCGCAGCTGCACAAAATGATGGATCTCAATGGCAGCAACAGTGTCAAATACGAGCCAGAGCCGGCGGCAGCAACGGGGGCGCAACTATCGCCAAACAGTTCGATACTGCACGACAAGCTGGCGCAGATCAAGGCCGAACAGGCCGAGGAGCAGTTATAGGTCCGGTGGCAACCAGGTCAGGACTGTCCCCAGCAACAGCAGCAGCAGCAGCAACTTGTGGCACCAGCATTTGTGTGGCCACCGCTAGCCACGCACTACTATAGTTTCTAAATGAATGGGGCAGTTGGTTAGGTGTGCACTGTACAGGCAAGCGCCGATTGAGCGAAACCAAATTTTTAAGCATGTATGTATATGAATGTCTATATATATGCACATATATATATATATATGTATAATGACAAAGCAAAGAGCCCGCGGCAAATGGAGCAGCAGCTCCAAATTGTTAGTAGTTAATAAAACCTAAAGCAAAACAAAAACAAAAATGAATACACACACACACGCAAACATATAACTTATATATAAATGTATATGTAAGCATGCAGTCTGTATGCAACACAGCAACAACAACAACAACAAACAAACATGCATAGATACACACAGTATTTATGCATATTTTTTGTTTAGTTTTTTGACAATCGACAAATAGGCATTCTCTTGTACAAACTTTCTAAACCAAACAAAACAAAAAAAAACAAAAAAATAATACCCTAAAAATATATACAAAAAATAAAAAACAAATAAGCAACAGTAAACACAACAATACCAAGTAAATTAATTTGTAAAATTAAACAAAGAAAAAGAAACAACATTTATTTCCATTAAAATTTTATTTCAACACAAAAAAAAAAAACAACAAAAACAAAATAAAGTACAGCCCATATAAAAATACTATGCCAGCGCCTGCTTGCGAAATGTAAACGAAAATTCTTGGAAATAAAACATTCCATAAACATTTTTATAATTTTTAATATATTTAAAAATACAGAAAAAAAAAACAAAAGAAAACTTTATATGTGATTTCTAAAAACGCAATGCAGACGGCTTATGCATAGCTACTGACACTAAACCCAACAACAACAACAACAATAACTACAAATACCAGCAACAACAACAACAATAACAACTAAACCAACAACAATATCCGATCAATAACAACAACAACAGCAAACATAATAGCCAACAACAACAACAGCAAACAAACAAAATAGCAAACACAAAATTCAAAAACTACAAAAATCAAAATCAAATACAAAATTTTAACATTTTTTTCGTTCTCAATTCATTTCAATTTTTTACATTATTATTTTCAAAAAAGAAAAACCCTTACAAAAATGAAGAAATATAAAACAAACGGAAATCAATAAACAAAGCTGCCTTCACATTTACAAATTAAATAAATTGATAAGAGGAACGAGAAAATGTTAGCTAAAGCAAAAAAGAAAAAACAAAAAAATATATAAAGAAGAAGAAGAAGCACACAAAATAATAATAATAAAACAAGAAACTTACGCAAAACCAAAATTCACAACAACAACAAAAACCACCAACAACAACAGCAACAAAAGACAGCCCATCAAAAATTAAAAACAAAAATTTAATTTGACAAAAAATTCAAAACAAAATCAAAACACATATAGATAACAAAATTATAATATATGAAAACAAAATTTTGATGTTTCGATGTTAAAAAAAGTACATAATAAATTTAACTAAATGTTTTAGGCCGTAAATTTATAAAAAAAAAAAAAAAAAACAAATTCCCATTCGCTAAAATGTCTTGAAGTAATTTCTATAAAACTATATATCTAAGTATATATATATATATATGTATATTTCTGTATGTGTGTGTCTTGATCCATTACGCGTATACCTCAATAACGAAACACACAAGATCATTTTGAGCAACTCTATATAAAATGTACTTATACACTCTACACACTCTTTACACAATATACAAAATGAAAAAAAAAAAAAAAAAGAAAACTAAGAAAAAATTGAGGAATGTCTACTAAATACATATTTACACTTCAAAAAAAAAAAAAAGAGAACAACTTTTTTGGTCAAAACACGCTCCCTACCTATCCCTCCCCCATTTGAGAGCTCTCTTGTTTCGAAAATTCTAGATGGGTTTTACTTAAATGTATGCGTAAATAAAAAACAAAATCTCTATATATATATGTACCTAAATGAAGAAAAAACAAACATATTTTGTGTGCTAGCTAGTAAGTGTCAAAAAAGAGAAAACAAAAACTAAAAAAAAATTATTAATAATAAAAATTATATATACAACAAACACATGTATTTTTAAAGTTAAACAAAAACCAATATCAAAATTCTATTCAGCTAAAAAAAGATATAAGAAAACCAAAATTTTTATAATTTAAAGCATATTTATTGGCTTATCCTTAAAAATAAATTCGATGTGCATAAATGTTGTGGCTAGAAAAAAAAAATACAAAAAAAAAATACAAAATTTCTATTGAGGCAAAAAAAAAAAAATATTTATAAAAAAACATATTTCGCATATTTAAAATATGAAGAGGAAAAAAATGTAGTAAATTATTTGCATCACAAGAAATTGTTTAAAAGCAAACAAAAAATCAAATCGTATTTATTGCTAATTTAATTATATTTGAAGTATACATAAATATTTATTATACATACATATATACACACATATATATGTATATATGTATATATATATATAGACACACTATCTGTGATTAATAATCCAAAATTTTGAAGAAACTTTTTCTGACTAATGTTGGTTAGGCAAACAATGCATAAAAAGGTAAACAATTATTATAATAATATGAAACAGATTACACACACACAGACACACACATATATAGAGAAAGCTATAAACTAATTGAACGATCGGATACAAATAATAACAACAAGAACAACCACAACAACAACAACAATAACAGCAATAACTACACAGAGCAACAACTATAGAAAGCGAATTCTTGGTTGGCATATGGAGTATATGTATGGCAAGCTATATACGATATAGGCCAACATACCAGTAAACAATAGCAAAGGCAACAACTACAGCACATCACTAAACAACAACAAAACAACAACAAAAATCATACAACAGTTCAGAGCATATATAGTTGTACATATATTTTGGAAAATTTTTTACGCAAAACTAAACAAAAATAATGCAGTCTAAAACAAAAATAAAATCAAAATGCAATGTAAACATTTTATAAAACAAAATTATACAAAGTAAAAACTTAAAAAAAAAAAAAAATCAAATATTTTGTTTAAGACAAACAAACAAAAAATGCTAGAGAAAAGTAATGAAATCAAACTAAATCATAAAGAAATATAACAAAAAAAAAAAAATTAAATTAAAATAAAAATAAAGTGCAATTATACGGTTTATATGTATTAAGAAGCAAAAACAAAAATTAAATTAAATTGTAAAAACCAAATCTGATTTGAAAAGTTTATGAAAAATGCATTTTGCTGCCTACTTCAAGGCGCGAGAAACCAGAATTGAAAAAAGAAATACGATATATAAAAATGTAAATGTAAATGAAAATGAAAATGAAACAAACACAAACATATACATATACACACATATACACACAGACAGGTAAATGGGCATAGGAGTATAGTGAAAAGTAGAAGAGGAGGAAGAAGAAAAACAAGAGAAAAGCAAAGCAAGCCGTATGTAACTGAAATATGAAAACTTTTCCACTTGTTAGAAGAGAAAGGTTATCGTCGCGTGAATGAATAGGAATATAACAGCTTGAGAATGTTGAGAATTGTATAGAATTTTTGCATTTTCCAACCTGCCACGCCCCTTCAAAAAAGTTATGAAAGAAGGATTCAATATGGTCTCTTGGCTAGGTGGGTTGGGCGTGCAAAAACGCTCAGGTACGTGTTTTTATTTTTCGGAGAGAAAAAAGATTGATTACCCATACATTACTTATTCTTTGTTTACAACAAATTCATAGTTAATAATTGTATAAAACAAAATAAAAACAAGCAAACATAAACAAAATGAGAAAAACAAAAACAACTTTAAATCGATATACTTATTAATAATTATGAGTCTTAAATCTATATAAATATATATTATGTATATTTTAATTATTATTATTTTTATATACTTTAAAAGTTTAGAATTTTGTTCAACATGAATCAAAATTTGCTGAATATAAGTGCATATACATAGTGCATATACATAGTGTTTACGTTATTTACAACACACTCTATTATTTATATTATTAATTGCAACAACAACAACAACAACAATATAGGCAAATCAAAATTTTCAATTATTATTAACTATACAATAACTATATATATATATATATATGCAGACCAACTGTTGTTTAGCCTTGATTCGTGTGTTTTGTATGTATATATATATATATATATATATATATTAGTAAGCAATTCCCTTTTTGAAACAAACAAACAATTTGTTGTTTTTATCTTTCTTTTTTTTTAATTAATATTACAAACGGGCAAAAACACATTTGACTTATAGTGCAATTGTTTCAAACAAAACAAATATAAATATATCCATATATATATATATTATATACTTTTATATGAATAACAACTGATATAATTTAACAGATTTCTTTGCAATACCAAGAAGTATATGTATGTATATGTAAACAGCAACAATTATTAATTTAAACACGAAGACGAACATCAAATTGAGAATCAAAAATCATTTTAAGTGCACATATGTGAACAATTTGTCAGACAAAGTCAAAGTCAGTTTACTCAATTCATTTATGCTAAACACAATGACTAAAAACGAGAAACCAATTCAAATTTGAAAGTTTAGTTGTGCCAATCAGAAAACAGATGAAAAACTCTTTACTTGAGCGTTAGAAAACAACCAAACAAATGCAAAGAACAGAAGAAACAATAGCCAAGACAAACAACCAACAACCAACAACAACAACAACAACAATAGCCCAAAATAATTGAACTAAAAATTGAGCACATGTATATGTACCAATATATATATGTCAAGAAATCAAATGAAGAAGACAACAATAACAAATAAGAAACACACACACACAGCCTGACGTCGATTGTACTTTTCTTTTTTCTTCAAGCAGAAAACAAACAATTTAATTAAACAATAGTACTACTCTAACTACAACAACTAAAATAGCAAACAGTAATAGAAATAGCCATAGCCACAAACAATTAACTATAAACCAATACAATACACACAGAAGAACACACCCACACACAGACAATTATCAATTTACTAACAGCGAGCGAGAGCGAGACTTTTCCAAAAGAGTTTTTTTCCAATTGAATAGCAATAACCAATACAATAGCCACTTAATTAAACGATCATACTATATACAATAGACAGGACAGCAGAAAAAATAAGTAACTCAAAGAAAAAAGAAGCAGAACATGATGCGAGGCGAGCGCTGAGCTGAGCTGTTTGCTGCGCATGGCGTATACGCAATATGTGTTGCGCATACGCCGCATGGCCCCATGCAAACTACAAAACAAACATGCTCAAAAGTAAATGAGAACAATTTTTATTTCAATTATCCACTATCAACTACAGCATACAGTAAAATATAAATAAAATTACAGCAACAAGAAAACAAAAACAATAGCCCTAGCAGAACATATTAAGCATATTAATCCATTTAAAAACTAAAAATAAAATAAATAAAAAAACAAAAATCAGCAATAGATCTAAGTTATTGGCAAACAGATGACTGCATCGACTACGTTTTTTTTTTACGTATATGATAAAAAAAAGTTTCTCGTTTTTAACAGCAAATATTTAGATTATTTTTAATACAACAACAACTGATGCAAGTACAATACAAGAAATACAAAAAAAATAAACAAAAAATTTACTGAGCAAAATTCATTTATTTTTGCATTTACCGAAGCAAAAAAAGATATTTAATTATTATTTGTATACTTAATCACGAAAGTGAAATGAGTATATCGGGTTTTTCTTTCTTGTGAGGATGAAAATTGTTTCACAGCCAATAAGCGTAACTAAATATATATAAAATGCATTATGATTAGCAATAGCCCATAAGATACAGATACAAATAAACAAGAAAACAAAATATATATGTATGTATTTAGCATTAACAACAACAACAACAACATAGCAAAGATACACAACTTAAGCAAAGTAAACTTAAAAAAACAAATTTGACTACTAAATTCCATAGAAGTAATTTCGTTTTAATCAACTTTTATCTTTTATCAATATAATTTTTAGTTCTTTACAGCGAAACAAAAACAAAATGTTATATAAATATATTGAATAATTTGTCAAAAAATTATTAAAAACATATATGATTTAAACATTGAAAAAAAAAGAAAAAAAAAACTTAATTAAAATCGAGTTAAGTTAGATTTAAAAATTTGTTCAGCGTGCATAATTGTTATATACTATATATAAATTTATAATTACAGTTAGGTTTATGATTTTTCGTTATTTTTATTATTTACTTATTGTGTTTCATGATATATGAATGTATATATATATATCATATACTTACGCTGAAAATGTTTATGAATAAAAACAAAAACAAATATTTTAGTTAAACAGCTGCAGTCTTTTTAATTTCTAGTTTTACTTTACTTTTTTCAAACTCAGAGGCTTTTATTTCAAATTTTTGCTCTATGCTATATATATATATGTATATCTATATATATTACACATAAAATGCAATAGTATTCTATCTTAGTACACTTATTCAAAATATACTTAACAATAGACCAAAGTAAATATTGACTCTGATGTGACTTTATCATAGCTCGCAAATAACTGTTGGCTCTTTCATCTCGCTCCGGGATCGAAGCCTTTGAACGATTCGTTGGTGAAGAAGCTCATTGAAGAAGCGAGGGTCGATCTCTGAGTGATTATCAGGGTGTCAATGCACCACAAAGAGGGTCAAAAGCGATTTGAAAGCAATGGGATTTACCACCATCCAGAACATCTTCAATATTTGCTCCATTTTCACATTGAACAAAAATAGAGAAACAGCAAGAAAAATTGGCAACGAATACAAGTAAAACACATTTGAGCAAATTTAATTTACTTAAACTTGATTTTTTTGAACGTGTTCGACAATGTTTTTGAGTTATCTCCACCCACGCGTAAATCAACAGCTCTTTGGATATCAAAAGTACTCTAGAACTGGTTACGAAGGCAAACTAACAAAAACAAATAGAAATAAAAATCTATCTTTAAACAAAACTCAACAGCTTCAGGGACCAAAAAAAAAAAAAAAAAAAAAAAAAGGAAAAAAAAAAAAAAAAAGATTTATTTAACAACTCGAAAAATCTTTAAAAAATGAAATTTGAGGCATATCTACATTTCGATGGTGCACTAATATGATATGCATATAGAAAAGAAGAAGAAAAATTCACGAAATATCTTGGCAAGCATTTCGAGTATATATCAAAATCTAAAATTAGCATATGTGTGAAATTTATTCAGAAAAAAAACTGTAAAGAAAAAACAAACTTTGGTAATATAAATATATAAATATATCAAAAAAGTATATATATATAAATCAATAAATGTCTGTGGAAAATATTTGGAATATTGAAATTTTAAGTGTAAGCAAATCTTGTATACGATACGCAAGTAAACAAAATTAAAATTAAAAATTTGGGTGTTAAATAATCGTAAAAGAAAAGAAAAACATATTGATTTACATAGAAGTTTATAATTTGGTAAAAGTATTTTGGGTGTAAATAAATTATATATCAAAATATGTATGCTAGGTGGGTAAAAATTAAAGAAAAGAAAAAAAAGAACAAAACACAAAACATTTAAAAAATTAAATTAGCAAAATTTATGTGAACTTAGTAAATGGTAAATTCAAATTTATAATATATATACATATATATATAGATATGTTTATATATATTTGTGTATGTCTGCTAAAAAATTATAATATTATTAACTATTATCATGGACTTTGATTTACGAAACAAAAAACGTTCTTCAGTTCTCACTGGAAAATTCAATGCCAAGTTCAATATTTGCAGTTCGAAATCAATTTTCGAATGGGTATTCAAATGTCTAACAACCAAAAGATTGTGTAAAAAAATAATAGAAACAACAACAGCAACATTTAGATTTATGTATATGAATGTGTACAACCAAAGGAGATATAATGGCAAAATCTACTAAAGACAAAACAATACTTACAAATGAAAAACAAAACAAAATGAAAACCAAAACACACACAAACTATTAACTTGTAATGATGTGAACATGGAGCTCTCAGTATTTCGAAGAATACTGGCAATAAAAATTTAATAAAACAGTACGACAAAGATGTTTTCATTCTTATCCAAAGTATTCTAGGATCCATTTCGGCACGTTGAATTGTTACGTTTATATACTCTTCTTCTGCAATGTCCGTCTTGCCGTATGCATCTTGAAATTTAGTACTATCCATCTCAAGATCCGCCCAGTAGGGGCGTGGCAAAACGAGATGCATCGATTTTTGGAAAAAAAAGACTCGGTCTGCGTGAGCAATATAAGGGCCTAGCTCTCTAGCTCTTAGAGCTCCTGAGAGCGTTCACACATACAGGCAGACAGGCTAAATCAACTCTGCTCGTCGCCCTGCTCAAGAATATATGTAGGTATACACATTGTGTCGCTCCAGTCTTTCTCTCTGTCTGCCGAACAAAAGCAAGAGCCGAAGAGAAGATCATTTGAATTGTTTATATGTGTGCATCAGCATTCGGTATTTATATAGGAAAGACGAAGCTTGCAGCGGGAGAGTGTTCCCATTGGTCGGCTTCAACGACGGCTCCTACCTGGCGCCGTGCTCAACATTTGAGCGAGACTTATTTGAGTGTAAGTCGACCTATATAAAGGGCAGCAGCTGCAGCATTTCTTCAGTCGCCCAGGCCCGGTGGGGGTCAGTCGAGCTGCAGTAAAGTGACGTGAAGTGTGTGTAAATATTTATTGATTGTTCTACTAAGCATTAAAGAGGAAATATTTAGAAAAAATACTTAAAGGAACTACTTAGAGGAAATACTTAGGGGAACTACTTAGAGGAAATACTTAGAGGAAATACTTAGAGGAAATACTTAGAGGAAATACTTGGAGGAAATACTTGGAGGAAATACTTAGAGGAAATACTTGGAGGATATACTTAGAGGAAATACTTAGAAAAAATACTTAGAAAAAAATACTTAGAGGAAATACTTAGAGGAAAGACTTGGAAGAAATACTTATAAGAAATATTTAGAAGAAATATTTGGAGGAAATACATAAAAGAAATATATGGAGGAAATACTTAGAAGAAATATTTGGAGGAATTATTAGAAACAATACTTAGAGAAAACAACTGGAGGAAATACTAGAAATAAATACGTATTAATTATTTTATCTAATTTTTTTTAGCATTCTTATATAACAATATTATAGAATAGGCATTTCGAATCACACTTTAATGTACGCGTTCATGATTTCATTTCGAAGTCTGTGCCTTTTGTAGTTTAAAGCTTGACATGTTAAAAAAAAAAATTTCAGTATTTTAAGTACATTAACGTAATCTCTGAGAGAGAATTGTAGTAGTAGTTGTTTAGTAGGCTTTGGAGATAAGCGAAGCTATTTAAATTCGTCTTAATATTCTTAAGCAGATGACTAAAAATTTTCTGTAGCGCAACTAAAAAAAATACAAAAAAATACAAAAAAATCAACCATTTGGAATAAAAACGAAAATCAATAAAAAATAGAAAATTGCGAAACGAAAAAGAAGAAAGAATGGCTCTAAAACGTTTGAAATGTGATCTCAGTCCAGAGCTAACGACCTGTCTAAAGCTCGCTGATAATGTCCGTCCCGATTGCTGTCCGATAATCAAGCGCATACCTTACGATGCTGAGTGTTTCCTCAGAGACATTGGCAAGGAGCTGAAGAAGCTGTACGAGCGTCACGCGCGCAGCTTTACGAAACGCAAACGTATTATGGAGCTGGCGGTGCCGCTGCGTCCCAGATGCCGCTACTTGCCCAAATGTGCGTGTCCATTCAAAAAGACAATCGAAATCGTACCAGCGGATCACCCCATCCATACACGCACCGATCAATTGGCACTGCCGACAGTTAGGCGCTTGCTTAGCCGTCGGGCCGATGCCATCGCGAACGGTGATTTGATTGGCGAGGGCATCATTAATCGCTTGTTACGTTACAGTTATATGTCTTTGTACAGTCGCTTGTGCAATGTGCAGCCGTTGGAGAAACCGTGAGCATCTGACCAACTAATATACCCATACTCTAAATTGAATACTAATTTGAATTCGCCTCTGAAACAGCAAAAAGAAGAAGAAGCTAACAGAGAAGCAAATGAAGATGAGGGAGATGAATATCGCACGACTCGCTAAGCCACGTAAGCCGAGAACTCCACCGCCACTGGTAAGTCTGATATATCAGTTATTATATATGTATGTATCAAGGTAGTCTCTAAACATAGACACCTATCATAGCAACAGACATAAGCCATTTGATAACACTTTTACATTTGCTTTGCAGGATCGTAAAAAGGGACAAATAGATCAGCGGCGTCTTAAGAAACTGTCCCGTCCCAAGGTCATTATGGAGGACATCAAGCCTGAATGGGAGTTCACACCGGGCATGCGTAATTACAAAGCCTCGGATCGTGTTAAGACTTTGGCTGAGCCAGTGGATCGACCCAATGTGCACACCAACGAAAATCCTGGAAAAGTCTCACCCAATGCACTTAAATATAAACGTAAGCTCTAATTTTGAATATCTATACATATATCGATATTTACAACTGTCTGATGCCAACCGCAGCGAGTGATCGCATTAAGGAGATGTCTCAGCCTCTGGCTAAGCACGAAGCCAATTTGGGTCCGGCCGATCTGAAGGACGATCCGTTTTCCATTTCACCAAACGCATTAAAATACAAGATAACCACGCGTATGAAGGAGTTGGCCGAGCCAAAGGAGTTCGAGAATACGCACATTCGGGAGAATCCTTTTGCCATCTCGCCGGCGGCGCTCAAGGCGAAGGCTTCGCCGCGACTCATAGAACTGGCCAAGCCCAAAGGCTCGTAAGCCCAAACAACAATTTTCAGATATTTCGAAATGTTTTGGTGTTATTCATTCGGTTTTCTAAAGTTTGTATAATAAAACAATGTGAAATATTTTTCGTAATTGTAGTTTTTCTATTGCCATTGAGTATAATATAATTAATACAAATTTTTAAGTAATTTTGGTTTTATTTTCTGCATCATTGCTCTCGCTTCAATTTGATTTAGTTTTCGATTCAGAAATTTGCATTTGCTTGTCATAAACTTAATGCTGCTTGCAAACATTCGAATCCGGTTTGGATTTTTTGTTGTATAATACATAATCACAAAATAATAAACAATACGGCCAATTTGTAAAACTAAAAAGGTTTGGGGTAAATGAATACGGGGGGCAGGGGTTGGGCGGTTGGGCGAGGTAATTGCTCTAAACATAAATATTCGCCAGAAATAATACTCAAAGCATCAATTGAATTATGGAGGGAAGCAGAGGAGAAAATCATACTGAAAAATTAACTAAATATCAGAAATAATGTTTAACATTCTAATAATTTAGGCAATAACTGAAGAGTTTGGTGTCTATGCATGCGTACAATCCTTGGTTGGGGCAGCCACAGCCAACTGTTGTGGCAAATTGACGAGCTGTGAACGATCTAGTGCAGATTGGCAATAATAGCGCGCGTAAAGTCCTGAGTGGTGGATTGTCCACCCAAATCCTTGGTGCGTATCTTGCCGTCCTTGAGCACCTGGTTAATGGCATTCTGTATGACCTCGCTATAGGTTGGCAAATTGATGTGACGCAACATTTTTGTGCCGCACATTAGCATTGCCGTTGGATTCGCAACATTCTTGCCCACAGCCTGAGCGAAGATATGGCGTGCACCCTGTAAAAGCAGCAAAAAATTATAGTTGAAGTGCTGTGGAATTACTTTGCATGTTAAGCATATGCTTACCGGCTCAAAGACCACTGCATCAGCCGAGTATGAGGCACCAGCAACAACACCAGCGCCGCCGACCAAGCCAGAGGCCAAGTTGTCGACAATGGCACCATACAGATTCGGAGTGACCATCACATCGAACTGATTGGGATTGGACACCATTTGCATGGTCGTATTGTCCACAATCATTTTATCGAGCTCGATACGTGGATAAAGCTTTGAGACTTTCTCGCATGACTTCAAGAAGAGACCATCGCCCAGCTTCATGATGTTGGCCTTGTGCACGGCTGTTACCTTCTTGCGGTTATTCTTGGTGGCATAATCGAAGGCAAACTTTGCAATACGCATCGACTTCTTGGCAGTCACAATTTTCAGGCACTCCACGATGCCGGGCACCGACTCGTGCTCCAGGGCAGAGTACTCGCCTTCCGTCTGTTCACGGATGATGACCGTATCGATGTTGTCATGGCGTGTCTTAACACCAGGCAAACTGCGAACGTGCACCACATTCGCATATAAGTCAAGCTCTGTGCGCAGTTTCATGTTAAGCGTCTGCAGTTCACCCTCATTGCTGTAGTCGGGTGTAGCCAAAATACCCTATATACACATTTAAGACATTAGAATCTATCTCTATAAAGCAGTTCGTTACTGACCTTAATGCAAACTTTATTTTTGCGAATGGAGGCGACAACATCTTCAAGTTTGGCGCTTAGCACAGGATTGATTTCCGATAAAAAGAACGCCTCAAAGTCAACTGGCACATTTGCTGCCTGTGCGTAATCAAACGTTATTTTTGCTTTCGGCTAATGGGGAATTTTACCTTACCTTGAAAACCTCTTGCAGTGAGTAGACCAATTCGGGTCCGACACCATCGCCGGGCACTAGAGTGCAAGTGGTTCTATTTGCACTATAGGTCTCCTATTAAAATCATAATTATTACACATGATTCTCTAAGGTAAAATTAATTTTATATTTGAATACACACCGCACCACTAACCGCCGCTGACACATGTAGTGCACGTACTGCGGCTGCCTATAAATAATACAAGTATATTATAATAGTTAGTCATTATGTTAAGAAGGATGTGAGGATGTTAACCTCAAAAAAGAATTGGCATCAGCACTTGACTTGGCTCCAAGTGCCTAAGCAACGGCTGCTGCAAAGAACTTGGCAAGTGTTTATGTAAGCACTTGGCAACCTCTCTTTGATGATTACCTGAAAGAAAGTGCGTCCCAAGGTTTTAGCCAGTATCGACATCCTGATCGTTCGTTAAAAAATTCTGTTTATTATAGATAAACAAGTGGACCTAAATGTAGAATGTTAAAATTAATAATTTTACTTTGCGAAATTTTTGATTGGAAACCAACTTAACAGCTGACTAGGGATGCTATTAAAGTATCGAAAATCACATGTTGTCAATTACGATAAATATCCAGAAATTATTTTTAGAATTTTTTCTATGGTTGCAAATTACGTACATTAAGTAGTTTAAAAGTCCGCGTATAATTCTTTCCCAACTAATCTATTGCAGTTTGTGGACAATAAATAAATTAACTATAGAATGAAATAACGGATATCAATTGCTATCGATAAGATTTTGAGATAAGCACATTCGCTCAATCTCTCGATAGTCCGATCACTAACGTACTTTACATTTAAACGTTTTTCTGCAAATATATTTGCTATATATTTTCAAATGAATGATTACATATATTTTGCTTATAAGCTGCGAATGTTTTGATGAATCTATTTATCTATTTAAAAGAAACCTTCATCGGCTTCTTCTGCTGGCTTTTGATCAAAGCTGGCGCACTTGGCTGCCTCACCGCCGCGCACTTTCACATTATAGCACACATTTTCGGCCTTCAGCATGCTCTGCCGCATTGTCGTTATTTTGCGCCATAATTCCCGGGCACGCTGACAGTTCAAACTGATATACCTGCAAGTGACAAAAAAACAGATATTAGTTTTCATTAGGAAGGTGCACCCTGTGGTTAACGCACCCTGTGTAAAACTGCTGCAGTGCCTTGCAGGTCTCCATGCAGGTGTCCGTATCCCCGCTGCCCAGTGAATTGATGCAACGACGCATCAACTCGCCAGTTAAATCTGAAACGCCCAAAATGTACTCAGTGGGATCAACGAAAAACTGAAATTTTTCCACAGCTTTGACTGTTGTCTCTTCACCGGCCATTGGCGAATCTCCCACGTCTTGCACGGGCTTCTCCTTCTCAGCCTCGACTTCATATTGCATAATTGACTGCAAGGCCGCCCAGTCTGATATCGACTTTGAGTTCTCGCCGTTGTCCTCGTTGGACAAGTACTCCATATAGGTATACGCTTCAATGAACTCCTGCAAGCCGGGCGAGTATGCGGCACGAAATTGATAAACATCCTGATTACGCAGCTCCAAGGCAATGGCTCGGAAATTCACCTCAATCAGCTTCTTCAAACGTTGTTGCGCTTCTTCGAGCACTTTGGCCTTATTCTGCTTGCGCGAATCAATCGAATGCAAGAAAAATATAATGCGCTTCGATTCGATTGTAATGTCGCGGCTTAGTTTTAGAATTCGCTCATGGCGATCGTGTTTGGCGTCCAATTCACTCGCATAACTGCGAAACGCTTGCACAACGGGATTCTGCTCATCCAGCTGTGCTTGACGTTTGCGCGGTCCATTATTATTGTTACGATAGCCTGGATTTTTCGGCATGTTTGCAATTTGTTTATTTGTAAATAAAGCCGGCAGAAAAATGATGCGTCGATACGCAGTCTAGCGTTGCCACTTGATTGTTTTTAAACTGAGCTGCTATTTATTATGTACCATCTGAAATGTACCAACAATTTATTGGGCGTTTATTGTCGCGTGTTGTATTTAAAAATAAAACAAATATGCAAACAGCCGTGTTAGGTTTAGTTAGCCTTAAAAGTACCAATATCTTCATAAGTCTGTAAACACTGCCTTTCCCAGTTCGAACTACCTGATTTTGGTACATTTGTAAATGTGACAGCCCTTAAAATTAATCGCATTGCGTTTATCGACTGTCAAGTCAGATGTAGTTGTCAGCTGCTGATTTTCGTTCGTGGCAATTGTTTTAAAATTGCTTTGATTCTAATACAAAAGTTTTAACCGACTATGCATGAGCCAGCAAGAAGGCCATCAGTGGCCGGTGGTACAAGCACTGCTGAAAAGCTTTGCTTTGACAAAAATGAGTTCATGAAGGTTCGTATTCAGAATAATTTTTAAAGTGGTCCTTCAACGCCTTTCGTTTTAAAGGAAAATTTCTCCGTTGATGAGTTTCTACACAAGAATCGCAACGCGCCTAGCCTGGAGCAGTTGCGCGACAACTTGGGCCTATATCTGAAGGGTCTACGTGCCGCTATGATAGATCTCATCAATGAGGACTATGCGGATTTCGTTAATTTGAGTGCCAACTTGGTGGGTCTGGACCAAACCATCGACACTATACAACGCCCTTTGGAGCAATTTCGAACAGAAATCGAGGGCATACACAGTTTAATTGAGGAAAATGTGGTTGAGCTGCGCAACCAGCTCGAGGAGAAGCGTAAATTGCGGGAATATCAACGCAGTTTGCAAAGCCTTAAGAAAGTATACGAGATCATGGAAAAGTTACAGGAGCTGATTGCGAATAAGTTGAGCGAAGACGAGCCCGCCCAGGCTGTTGACTTGGAGCGTGCTGCACTTGACCTGATACAATTGCGGTTCCATGAGAAACACTGCGACACTCTGCTGAGCAATTTACACAGATCCAGAATTCAGCAACTAGAGGAGCAAGTACATCAGGAATTACGTCGTTTCCTGTACACCTCACTGCAGCAGGCCAAGAGCGGTGCCTCCGAGCACTTGGAGCGCTGTCTGCGCATCTACATCACACTCGATGCATGTGACCGAGCAGAGCGCGCTTTTCGCGAAGATATCGTTGCTCCCTATATGAGCGCCATCATTGGCGAGCAGCAGCTGCAGAACTCGCCACAGGGATTGGCTGGCATTTACAGCAAAGTATTGAATTTTATATCGCTGCACATGGCGGATCTGTTGCGTCTAACGCTCTACTCGGATAAGTTAAACGGCTTCAATTTTGTGGTCAATAGCTTTTGGGCTGATGTTGAGATGCGCCTGGAGCTGCACATGAATTCGATATTTGCACCAGGCAACTCGGAGGTGTTCTATGTGAAATACAAATGCACACGCGATTTTCTGGCCAAGATTGAGGAGTTGCTGACGAGCCGCGGCGAAAAGGTAGTCTCCTCCTTTCGCCATCACAATCAAACCAAAAGCTTCGAGGCACGCTGGAATCTACCCGTCTACTTTCAAATATGCTTTCAGGTGAGTTGCGAATCTTGGTTGAGAATTATATTCATAGTCTGGCCTTTAAATTGCAGGAAATCGCCGGAAAATTCGAGGCACAGTTGGAGCCGCTGCTCAAAGATGACTCGCTGCAAGCCCATCCAGAGGGAGGTGCCTATCATCTAATGCCCTTCAATGCTGCCAAAGAAGCATTGACTCGCTGCTGGTCCGAGGGCGTTTATTTGTCGGAGGTATTTGCCAAATTCTACAAGCTCAATGTTCAGGTAGTGTTGCGTCTCTCGCGCTGGATCCGAGATGTTATCAAGGAGGCCAAGAGCAGTAGCTACTCGAAGCCATACACACGGAATCAATTGCTAATTGCTTTATACACGGACACACGCCAATTGGAATCATATTTGCCTCAGTTGCAGCAGCTAATCATGAAGTCGGCGCCTAAGACCAAGAATCTAGCATTGTTCAACAATGTCTTGGGCAAGTCCATAGCCGACTTGATTGACACACTGGGCATGCACCTCACCAATATACAGGACACATTGAAACAGCTGCTAATCACCGAATGCGGAGCAGACAACGTGCGACAAGTCAACGATCTGCCGCGCTTGTACCGCAAGACGAACCGCGAGGTGCCGACTCGTTGCTCCAGCTACGTGGAGCAAATGCTGCGTCCGCTCAAAGCATTTGCGGCTCAGCACGAGAAACAGCTGGGCGCACTAGTGGTGGAGCAGATACTGGTCGAGGTGTGCAGCAACATAACCAAGGCGTAAGTAAAGAAAAGTAAACACAAATTTATATCTATTATATCAATACTTCTCTTAACCCCCCGTAGCTACTACAATGTGGTTAGTGAGGTGCTGACATCTGTGCAGAAAACGGAAGAATCATTGCGTCGCCTACGTAATCTCAAGAGCGGCGGTGCATCCAATTCACAGGGCAGTGGAAGTGCATCCACTGCCGTATCGGATGACGATAAGATACGACTGCAGCTGCGCGTCGATGTAGCCGCCTGGACTCTGGAACTGGGCAAACTAAACTTTAAACCCAAACAAATTGACAAACTCTTGGAGCTCTCCAACATGGTGGAGGAGAGCATCAAGTCGAAGGAGAGTTCTTAATGGAGGAAGGCAAATCAAACAAAATTATATTTGAAAATATTTACATGCTTCAATTTATTTACTGTTAACCGATTGCTAGTTTTTCTTTAGGCACAAGATTTGTATATAGTTAAATTATTTGTATATCGTATATAAATGCATCAAATTTCACGTAAACTGTTGTCTGTTGGCCTTGATTTAGTCGCTGTTTGGAATAGAGATAAAAGAGATTACACATCTATCAAAGATTTCTCATGCAAATCAATGTAAAATGCATGCTAAACTGTATAATAAACTGAATTTGTTTATGCATTAGCTATTGTAGAATGCGGGGCAGAGTGCACAGAGAGGAAGACATTAGGATAACTCAAGCAGAAATTGCGTGCTAGTAAAATTCTAAGCAAGCAGCAACAGCTTAATTACAGTTTGAGTTCCTCCGTGTCGGGCAACTTCTTGAAGAACCAGTCCAAATGCTCTTCGGTGACCTCGGACAAGGTGGCTGGTTGCCATTTGGGCTTCTGATCCTTGTCGATGAGCAGGGCGCGCACACCCTCCTTGAAGTCGGCGCGTGGCTCCAGGTGGCGCACGGCCAGCCGATATTCCATGATCAGGCACTGGGCCAGCGATAGCTGGGCTCCTAGCTCCAACTGACGGAATGTTACCTTCAGCGAGGTGGGAGAGACTTTGCTAAGGATCTATAAATAAATATATAAATAAATGGATTCAATTAGCTTTTAGCATCGCTTGTTAAGTTAATATGCGAAACGTGGCATGCGCCACGAGGCGTTAATTGAATTTGTTTTTCTCTTTATATACATATAATATTTGTTTGTTATATAATACTGTCTAAATATTTATGCGTAGCATACGTCAATTAGCAGCTGGATCGCACGACTCTTATCACCTATTTATGTACTAAACACTGACCTCCAGCTGTTTCTTTGCCCAATCACTGTCATCGGTTCGCAAGCTCTCCAGTATTTCCTCCACGGAGCCGGCTGAGAAGTGCTTGTTGATCTGCTCCAGCACGGGCGTCAATGAGAACGGCTTCTCCGGTTTCGAATGGAACTTTTCCAAAATCTCAGGCACATCATCGGCATCTGGGCAGTTGAGCAACGCAGTTTCCAATTCTGGCACTTTACTGCTCTCGCAGTAGTGGGTAGCAATGCCAGCATAGTAGACATCGCCGCCGCGTAACCTATGACCAGTCAGTCCCAAGTAGATACCTAGCTTGCCTTGCAGACGTGGCAGGAAATATGAACCGCCCACATCGGGAAAGAGCCCAATGGCCGTTTCGGGCATTGCAAACAGCGTGCGATCGGTGGCCACACGATATTTACCATGGACACTGAGACCCACTCCACCGCCCATTGTAATGCCATCGATAATGGCAATGTAGGGTATCTTGTAGTTGCCGATCAGCGCATTCGTTGTGTACTCCTCGCGGAAGAAGCTCTTCGACTCGTCCGTGGGTCCTGCATCGACCAGAGCGCGCACATCGCCACCCGCACAAAACGCCTTCTCCCCGGTGCCCTTGATGATCATCAGGGATTTGGATTTTTCACATTTTTTCAAATGTTTGTAGATCTTGCGCACCATCTCTAAATTGATGGCATTTAGTGCTTTGGGCCTGTTTATGATAATCATGCCCTTGTTAGATGACTCCGTGGCCAGCACGGAGGACGAGGAGAGGCGCGTGGAGTTTGCCATCGGCATGTTAATTGTTGTTGTTTCTGTTAATCTCGCACCGGCGGCGCACAGCAATGGCAATCGGGTGTAGGTACGATGACCAAGAGTGTAGGCTAACCTTTGAATTGGATTTTGCTGTGGCGCGTTTTGGTTAGAATCTCATTAGAAATTTTATTATGTGTTCATTTGCATTATTTACCATTTTGAAATTAGTTTCACTTTAATTTATTTTTATTTTGCCCCTCCGCACAACGAGTTGCGCAATAACAAACAGAATCTTACGGTGTTGCCGTACGCAGCGATAAACGTTTAGAATACGATTACTGTGAACTTTTGCGTATTTTAATTCAATTTAAAGAGGATTGCGATCCGTGATTATTCAACCACAGAATAATTACAATTGCGCTGTATTGATACTAGTTGCAGCATTAAATAGAATAGTAACAATAAGTAGAGTTGCAGCACCCGAATGCAGGGTGGCAACTCTGTGGCTAAACGGAACAATGCAAATCGCATATAAAACGTTTATGCCATGATTTAGATTGTTGAAATTGTTAACGTAATGTTTGTTCTATGCATATTAAAGATCGTTTGTGATGCAAATATGAGAAAATATAAAGTTAAATTTAACACTGAATTTCTTAAATTTCTTACATAAATTAAAGTCTTTTTATGCATATATAATATTGATTATAGTGTAATTATCAATATATTTTACATTCGTTTATATCGTTAAATCCATATTGAAATGATATTCGAAAATTCATTATCTGCTTTTGCATACATAATCTATAAAATCGAGAACTGATAAAACGTAATCAGCTTGCATTCTATAAATTGTGATTTGGTGTGCATAATATCAACGTAAACAAAAGCTTATCGCGTTTGGCGTGCGTGTAAACCTATTAATACGAGAACAAGCACGAAGAAAACTAAAGCTTAACTTTATCATTCTCATATTTAAACAAATAAACGGTGAGTAAATATCGGTAATCAGCACCACAAGGCAGCAGAATGCCTATGATTCAGTGGGGTAAGAGCCAGCGAGTGGCTCACATTGAATTGTCTGTGCGATGCCATCGTTCTTTAAATTGTCGAAAATACGTACAAAGCGCCGTCGCTCATCCGTTTCCAAATCCAAACAGATGAACTATGATGCACTACTCTCACAGTTGACCGACGACAAGCTGGTAATCTACGAAAACAGCGCCGAGGTTGGCGGTGGTGCCGCTGGCACGGCTGCCTCCCTTGTCGATGGCGACGTTCAGGATGGCGCCATCGAGGAGGAGCAAGCAGCGCCCATACAAACAATACACCACAGGGCATTAGTTGCTCCGAGAGCGACTGCTGTGTCAGCAACGGCAATGGGAACGACACCTGCAACAAGTGCAAACCTCAACCCAAAACTGGAAAATGCTACGACAGCGACTCCACAGCGCAAAATATCGACGTCATCACGTTTCATGAATGCGTTTACTCAGCTTTATGGCGGCAATAGCAGCAGCAATACCAATACCAACAGCAACAATAACAGTAATAGCAACAACCACAGCGCTGGTCACGTGGAACTGCATAGCGATGATCCCGATCTGGCGGCAAATCGCACACCGACCAAGGGCATGGAATCCAAGCTGGTGGCCATGTGGCATAATGTCAAATATGGCTGGACGGGAAAAATGCGACAAACGAGTTTCTCGAAGGAGCAGCCCGTCTGGCTACTTGGGCGTTGCTATCATCGACGCTACACACCTCCTGTTAGCATGGAGAACTCCACAACAGAGATTAATAGCGGTGCTGATACCACGCCAGATAATGCCACATCGGCGTTTGATAGCATCCAAGCAACAACCTCTACTCCGTCGTCCTCCATTTATTCCTCCATAAATCCGCAACAAATAAATGAAATTGTTGTGCCCCAAGAGCTGGGCATGGATGCGGCTGAAAATCAACTGGCCGAAAGTCCGTGGGAGGAGGGTATTGAGGGTTTTCGTCGTGATTTCCACAGCCGCATCTGGATGACCTATCGCCGTGAATTCCCCACTATGAATGGCTCCAATTACACCTCAGACTGCGGCTGGGGCTGTATGCTGCGGAGTGGCCAAATGTTGTTGGCTCAGGGTCTCATCTGTCACTTTTTGGGTCGCAGTAAGTGTGAGTCTGTTGCTACAGTAAACACTGTTAATTGTGTACTTTGTTTTCCGACAGGCTGGCGCTACGATGCGGATACGCAGCTGCATTCCACATACGAGGATAATATGCATAAAAAGATAATCAAGTGGTTTGGCGACAGCTCCTCAAAAAACAGTCCCTTTTCCATCCATGCGCTGGTGCGCCTCGGCGAGCAGCTGGGCAAGAAGCCAGGCGATTGGTATGGCCCCGCCTCGGTCTCCTATTTATTAAAGTGAGTCGCAGATCTGAGTTGTAAGAGGTTTCATTAATAATATATTCCATTAATTATCCAGACACGCCTTAGAGCATGCCGCTCGAGAAAATGCCGACTTTGACAATATAAGTGTCTACGTGGCCAAAGATTGCACTAGTAAGCTGTACTCTATATACTCCGCACCCATTATTAATTGCTGTGTTTATAGTTTACATTCAAGATGTTGAGGAGCTGTGCAGCATACCGGAGCCGGCTCCCAAGCCTCATGTGCCTTGGCAGCAAGCGAAACGCTCGACTAGCGATGCGCCCAAGCCTGACCAGCATTGGAAATCTTTGATTGTCCTGATACCACTACGTCTGGGCACTGACAAACTGAATCCCGTTTATGCGCACTGCCTGAAGCTCTTGCTCAGCACGGAATACTGCCTGGGCATCATTGGCGGCAAGCCCAAGCATTCGCTCTACTTTGTGGGCTTCCAGGAGGACAAATTGATACATCTGGATCCGCACTACTGCCAGGAGATGGTGGATGTTAATCAAGAGACTTTTCCCATGCACTCGTTTCACTGTAAATCGCCACGAAAGCTGAAGTCCAGCAAGATGGACCCAAGCTGCTGCATTGGTTTCTATTGCCCTACCAAAACTGATTTCGATAGCTTTGTGGAGAGCGTGCAATTGGTGAATGGAGTTGACATTAATTGAGGGCAATATATAATCCTTCCATTTATTTGACAGTATTTGCATCCCATGCGTTGCGCTTCTGGCGTTACCCAGGACAAATCAACGGCACCAGCAGCCCAATCCCAATCTTCAGCCCAGCACCCGCCTCAAGTGGACCCGCCCGAGATGAATTATCCGCTGTTCACTTTCTCGCGTGGTCGCTGCCTAGACCATGCGCGCGATGAGATGAGCGACTCGCTCTACAAGCCACTCATATCGCAGGTGGCTGCCTTAACCCAAGAACTGGAGGGCATTGCTCCGCAGCAGTTGCATGGCTACGAACAGGATCCGGATGATAGTGAAAGCGAGGAGTTTGTGCTGCTTTAAGCCAGCCATTTGATCCACATATACTATTTATATACACATAGCAATAAGTCTTGGATGCCCTCTCTATATCTTCCCCTGTTACCCTGAAGCGCAGCCTCGGTAACTGTGTGAACTGTGTTATATTCTTTTGATTGCTTTATTATTATTCTGATTATGATTAGCTATTATAATTTTTCGCTTATTGTTAGGTAGATCGTGTCGCCGTTGCTCGCTCGCTAGCTTGCCCAAAACTAAGTAAAACCGACGTGCATCTCAACATTAAAGACTTTGTTAATATACAGACACTCCCATACACACACACATATATACATGTATATATATTTATAAATTGCACATTTGCCTATTATATTTTATTCATTGTGATTATTTTCAATTTGCAACCTTTGCTCCAATTGATTTCATTTTTTGTATATCCTCAACAAGTTTTATGCTTCACTCTGATTATTGCTATTTATATTATTATTTCCTATATTTGTATAAATAGTTTATGTAATTCTCGGTATTATTATTTTGTGATGCGAATACTGTGTGGAATTGAAGCGTAATTAATCAACAGTGTAACAAGTGTTTCGCTGCTCTCGAAAGTATTTTATTTGTAGTCCCATGTCTTAGATTGTAATTAAATTATGTTTTGTCTCCTAGTGGTTCCTTCATTATTTAGTTATAAACATTAATTGTAAATACCCTTGCGAATAAATAAATAAATCTAATAGTAAATACATATAAATAACTTAATATTTAATTTAAATATTATAAATATCAGCTTAATCTAGTTTCATAGTCGGAGTGGAACATTCAAGTTCTCCAGGTGTTAGTTCGAAGATATGATATGGATGACTTGTCAGAGACATAGATAGTGTTGATAAGGCAGGCAGCGTGAACAGCACATCAGAAAAACATGAATGAGTAGTTCATTAAAAAAAATATTACCGATCTATTCAGGGGGTTTACGCGCTTGATGGAATTCAGCTGTGTGACACATTCGTTGATAAAGAGAAACTGAGATTATGGAAACATATTATTGGACATAGATATATAGATAATTTTGAGACATTCATTCTTCTTTGTGGTTGATTTGTAAATTTGTTACTGACGGTAAAAATAATATCAGTAATTAAATAAGAGATTCCTTATAAAAGATATATGTATGTATATGCCCCAGAAAGATCGTCGAACAAAAATTTGTAAAAATATAAATATCTATAAAAGTCATAAAATTGCTTTTAAAAAACTTCAAAAGAGTTCCCTTCCCTTATATTGATATTGGATTGCTTTGAAGATGGATGCAACTTACGGCTATGACCAGATGTCTTTAACTTAGAGAAGGGATTCCCTTTGGAAGAGCCCTTATTGCTGCGATTCCTTAGGCGATTCGCGATTCAAGCGCCTCAAGAGTTTGCCGAGATTATCTCGCGCTGTTGTCGCCCGAGAGGAATTAATACTAATGGCAGTCTGATAGCACTCGATGGCTTCCTCCAGCTTGTCCCAGCGATGATAGAGCACGCCGAGATTCGTATGATACAGCATGTTCCGTGGCTCCAACTCAATGACCTGTTTGTATAGAGCCTCCGCCTCCAGATAGTGCTTCAGCTTGCCGAGAACATTCGCCCGTATAAACAGAATGCTCGGCTCATTGGGCAGCTGGGTCAGAGCCTGGGCGGAGATTCGTAGCGCATCTTCGTACATGCCGCGGTTATCCAACATGGTTAAAATATTGGCCCAAGCTTTGGGCTGTCGCGGATTGATGGCAACGGCGTGCTGCCAATGATGCAGTGCCTCGCCGTATTGATGCTGCTCCAGAAATAGATTGCCCATGTTGTAGTAGCAGACGGCATAGTCGGAGCGATATTTGAGGGCCTGTCTATAGCTATCCAGCGCTTGGTCGTATTTCTTTTGCGCCGACTGCACGATGCCCAGATTCATCCAGGCCACGGGAAAGGCGGGATAGGCAGCCAAGGCAGCACGTATGTACTTCTCAGCTGTCTCCAACTGCCCATACTCCCGATAGAGATTGCCCAGATTCATCAGCGCCGACTCGTACTCCGGATAGAGCTGGACAGCCTTCAGATAGTGATGGAAGGCACGGCTGCTGTTGCCATTGTCCGTGGCTAGCCGTGCTATGTTATAGTGCACCTTGGCATTGTTGGGGCACACCTGCAGCGCCGAGCTGAACAGCTGCTCCTCGTTTAACCACTCGGCTGCACGTTGACGAGTGCGCAGCATAAACACGGCAAAGAGCAGCATAAGAAGCGTCTGCAGGGCTATACGGCAATATCTGTTGCCAGCATAGTTTTGATAGCAGTAGAGAAAGCCGTAGACGGACACCAGACAAAAGCCAATCGATGGCACATACAGTGTGCGCTCCGCAATGACAAATCCCACACGAATGATTCCGGATGCGGGCAGAAATGGAATGACCATCAATGCCAAGCCGAGCATGAGGCCTGCGAGCCGTCGAAAGTTCATGAGGGCAACAATGATGAATGAGTAGAAGGCAATGACGGCCTGCAGACGCATATCCCAAATGCTGGTCACCAGATTGATGCAGCCCAGCGCCCAGTCGAAGCACAGCCATTGCGGACATAGCATCAGCCAGAAGTTCACCACGTACAGGTACTGCTGCGACAGTCCTCGCGTGAGCAGCTGCTCGTTGTGTGCAATTGGATTATCCACTGGCTTGAATTCCGGCGCCTCGAAGTTTTGCCACCAGAGGCGCAGGAGCAGCAGAGAGAGCATGCCGCATATATAGCATAGGTAACGCAGACGTCTGGTGATCACTCGCTGCTGTAGCTTCAGCGGCAGCATGTAGGTGCCATTCTGGAAGTAGTCCAGCATAATGCAGGATAACGGTATTGTAATGGCGGACTCCTTGAACAGCATGCCAACTCCCGTAAGCAACAGAATGAGAATAACGCTGCTCACACCTGGCTTGTCCGCGCTGGCGACTGTTAGGAGCAGGCAAAGCAGGTGTATGAGTCCAAACATAAGCTCCGCTCGGCCCACGACGCCGGATACGGCTTCTGTGTGCACTGGATGAGCGGCAAAGAGTGCCGCAGATAGTGTCGCCCATCGTTCAATGTCAATGTCCTCCACATACAGCGAACGTACAAGGCGCCACATGAGCAGCGTATTGACGCAGTGGAGCACGAGATTGAGAAACTTCATGTGGGCAGCATTCAGGCCAAGTAACGCGTATTCGTAATGGAACATGAGCGTTGTCAACGGCCGGAACGATTTGTGTGAATCCGCGCTTAGGAGCGGTGCACCCCAAAAATCGTGGCTAAAGATCGCCGTCCAATTGGTGGGCAACGAGTTGACATTTTTGTTCTTCACTATGGCAACGGTGTCATCGAACACAAATTTGGCACCGCTTAGCCCGCCGTAGCCATAGCAGACCAAACACAACAGCACCAATATCGACTGGCACACCAGGCTGTGTAGCGTTGAGCTTTGCCGCAGATCCAGGCTAGCCATGTTGCCAGTTAAATGCACTGCACACGATTGTTGTTCTTAACTAATGAAATTTTTCCCTTTTGACCACGCAGTTTGTATACATCGCTAGCTGAGCGGGGGATGTCTACCCACTGGCAGCCGTAAGCGCGACTTTGGCAATTCACATGTCAACGTCGGAGTCAGCTGTTGAGTGCAAGTACTTACCATATATGATTTGCTGTGGGAATTCAGTAACAGATCTCGCAGACATATTTAACTAACACACAAAAGTACAATGAATTAATTTAAAATAGTGAAAAAATAGAAATTATTTAGTTAAGGTGCAATTGAAGAACTTAACTTTTTAGCAAACTCAATTTTGTACCCATTCACAGCTGCGAGAGCAACTTATGCCATTCACATGCTAACGTCACAGTCAGCTGTTGAGTGCAACTCTAATTTACAGAACGTAAACAGTATTGTTTTAATAATGTCGGAGGAAATTGTATTTGATTGCCTGCATGCTGAGATAGTCAACTATTGCCTAAATAATAGCAAGGTGGAGCATTAAGTCATAGATAATCCATATGTAAACACAAAGCCATTTTGCAGGATCAGAATGATCTGGGCACCCTGGAGTACATAGGCTTTACCACCGGCTATCGTCTGATCGAACGCCTTACGCGAGACGTCGGGCGCTTCAAGGATGAGCTGGAGACAATGAAATTTATATGCACTGACTTCTGGACATTGATTTACAAGAAGCAAGTGGATAACTTGCGCACCAACAACTATGGCATGTACGTGGTGCAGGATAAAGCATTCCGTTTTCTCACACGCATCTCGCCAGGCTCCAAGCAGCTGGAGCAGGCTCCCAAATTTGTAGCCTTCACTTGTGGTCTGGTGCGCGGTGCGCTTAGTAATCTGGGTATCAACAGCACTGTGACGGCTGAAGTGCAGACAATACCCGCCTGCAGATTTCACATAGAAGTCAATAGGGGTTAGGCATAAATATATAGATAACGCATTAATAATACAAATTATAAATATACAATTGCTAATTAACTTGTATATATAGCTAAATAATGTCGAGTTTCTCGTAGATGGCCACCACATTCTGTTCAGTCCATTCGCAAAGATCGCGCAACGCCCATTGTTTGTCGGGCAGCTGAGGTTGCAGAGGATTCGGATCTGTGTGTATGCCCAATGCAGGCTGTGGACCTATTATTATAAGCCACTTGCCTTCAAATGCGCTTAGGTACTCCAGGAAGGCACTTCGATTGTTAAAGTAGCAAAAGAGCAGCGCACAGGGCGCAACGCCCGAGCAACAGCGGCTGAAGAAACTGGGACTCAATTTGGAGTCTGCCTGCTCAATGTAGTTGAGTGGAATAAAACTGCGTACGGCGTATTTGCTGCACCACCAGTTCGGATCCCTTTCCAGGCCATAGACTCGCAGCTCTTGGTCAGCCACCGCGCCGAGCAGCCACTCGAGCAGTCCACTGCCACAGCCAATGCTCAGCACATGGTGAATGTCCAGCTGCCTAAGCACACCATTTAGTCTCTTCAGATCCAATGCTGTGGGCCATATCCAGAGCAATTTGCGCTTCAAGTCCCGTTCCAGTCTGTAGCCAAGCGTCAGTAACTTGCGCCAATTCTGTTTGGCTCCAGCTGCTCGGGTTAGATCATAGATCTCTTGCAGCACCTCTAGTTCCGTTTGCTCGCTCCACATTTTGTGCACTACGCTTGGATAATATAATTACGTATTTCTATTGCTTGCTCATCGAACAGTGCCCAGCCCAGACCCTTGTCATTGACGCAGGCCAACTAGGCAGCAACATCTGAGAGCTCACGACTCATAAATGCTCTATGTGCTATAGTTATATATTGTAATTAATTATAATTGAAATGAACCAATGTATGCTTTCTCGTTGAGACTAGCTTTTATATTGTTTCGAATCAAACACTGAAGAATAATTTTTACATTTATCACTAGAATACAATATACACAAATACTTAACTCTAACAATATAATATACATACATACATACATGTGTAGATGGAACCACTGCCCAAATTCAAGAACTTTCAAAAGAATAATCTAAGCGTAATGAAGCTCATTTTACAGTTTGATTTGCTGTGTGTATGGCAGGACAAGCTTCTATATCTTTTCACTAAGCATGACTATATAGCTTGTCTATAAGCATATACACACACCGTTAACTAGTTAAAATACGCTTAGCAAGTGTATTATATGGCATCAGGCCAGCATTTCATTCAGCTATATGTATAAATAACTACATTGACCCCATCTCGTTATTATGCCTTATGCCAATCGATCAGTTCACATCTTATTTAAATTCTTGAGCAAGACATTCTCTCGACTTCCTTAAGGATCTGCTAGCCCTAGCTAATACCATAATTCTTAATTGGTATGTTCGTTTTCATAAAAGTATTTGAAATTCTTGCGCCAATGTCTAAAGCAGGAGCTGCTCTGGTCAGGCAAAGGTGGATGTTGCGGTGCCAGCTGCGTCGCTTGTTGCTCAGCGGTTGGCGGTGTCGACTCGTCCATGTCCAGGCCAGTACTGCTCAGCTCATTGGAGTACTCCTCGTTATCCAAATCCAATATGATTTTGCGATATAATTTTACATTCTCTTTTTGCACTTTATCGGGCAGCGATTTCTCCGGCGGCGGCTTCTCCGGCTCCAGTTCGGGCACTACCACCGGCTGCACATTGCCCACACTCATGATGACGCTGCTGTAGCGCAGACTCGGCGCAGTTGGCTGCTCTGCAGCAGCTGGCACAGTTGTGGTGCTCTGCTCAACATCTAAGACTTTTACGCCCGCATCGAATTCAATGCCTGGATGCATGGAGCGCATATGCCGCTGCATATTGTCACGCCGGCTGACTGTGACGTCACATTGCAGACATTGATAACGCGGATTGGCTGTGTGTTGCTTCACGTGCCGCTGCAGTGCATCCACGTCATTGTAGGTCTTATTGCATTGGGAGCAAGCATGCCGCGGACGCTGAGTGTGTCGGGCTTGGTGCAATCTGAGCGTGGAGGAGCGCAGAAAGCACTTGTTGCACACATTGCACTGGTGCCGGCGGCTATTCGGCTCGTGCTTCACACGATGCTGCCGTAAATTCGCCTTGGTTAGATAGTGCTTGGAGCAGTCAACACATTTGTATGGCAAGCCGTTGCCGCTGTGCAGAACAGCGTGAGCCGTGAGGGCGCCCTGGCTGCGAAAGGTTCTTGAGCATTGCTGGCAGGGAAAGCCGGATGAGTTGTGAGTACGCATATGGCGTTGCAACAAGAGCTCCTGCCTAAAGGTTTTACCACAATGGGAACAGCTGAAACTGGGACTGTTGTGGCTCTTTTGGTGATACTTCAGATGCGAACGTGTGGCAAATCGCTGGAAAATAATAATTGTTACACATATATTTATATTGAAGATTCAGCTTTTGTTTTAAATTACCCGTGCGCATTGAGTGCAAGGAAACTTCTTGAGGATCTCATTGCCACAGCTACGATGATAATACTGTTGTGTGCGACTGCGGAAGCTCTTGTTGCACACAGAGCAATGATAGCCCTGTGTCGTGCTTGTTATATGTTTGTAATCCACATCCTCAACTGGTTGATCTACAGCATCTGCCGCGGGCTCAAGCTCCCTTGTCAACTGGCATTCCGAGCAAGCGACTTCATCTGCCAGCAGACACAATCGACATTTGTTGTGTCCACAGCTGTCGGTGACTAGGCGATTTTGTCCAGCTGCTACGCAGTTGCAGCGCGGACATCTGCTCATTATTTCAGAAAACAAACGTTTGTGTTTCAAACAAGAACGAGACTCGATCAATGCACTTGTTGTTGCACGACGCTCTTTGTTAATGCCATTCCAAGGCCAACGCAAGTAGCCAGTCACACCGAAACGTAAACACGAATGCAACTGGATTTGAATTTAATACTTTTTTCAAATGCGTACAAAATTTATTCTCTTACTATAAACTTAAATTAATTGTCCTGAAAATGTTTTACATATATACCAATATAAACGTATATAAAAGTAACCGTAACACATTATTCATTATTCCATTAAGCTTTCCAAATCCAGAGCAGCCACATTACCTGGAAACAGGTGGGCCTTCTGCATGGGCACCTGCACAAAATAACGTTCGCAGAACTTGGGATTTCTTTTGGTGAGCACCTCATTTAGTATGATATTATAGCTGATTTTCTTAGTTATAAGCAAGCGACGAGATTCTCCAGTGCCATAGCTTGTCGAACGCAGTCCAAACTTGCTAGCAATTCTACAAAATACAAATACATATACATATGTAATAAGGAATGATATTAAATTATGATTAAAAGAAGTTTGCATACTGATGAAACGTGGCGCGTTCTTCTTTTAAAAAGTTCGGCTCAAACTGCATGTCTCGTATATCATCCGAATTGACATAGTTCTCTATGAGTTTGCGATAATCTGCCAGGTTAGCATGCGGATCATTGGAGCCCAAGCCCATACGATTGCTCTTTAACAGGTAGCTGCAAAATATTTGAATTCAATATCTAGTTAAACATAATGACATCAAGACCAAACACCCACCCCACGGGCTCCTCGCGACCTTGCTTGCGGCGTCCCAGACCACCGCCTGTCCAGCCCATCATCCGCATCATACGATAGCCTTTGTTGCTCGCATCCAGCTTGCTATCCGTCAGACTGTCCGCCGACTCCTTGGTGACATTGATATCAATGCCATTCTTGCCCTTCTCGACCTTGATAGTAGCTCGCGCTGCATTCAGCTGGACACAGAAAAGATATATATGCACATGAACTAATCTCAGGTAGTCCTCTAGGCACTGTCTACCTTTATGCTGTAGCAGTGCGTCTGCAGCAGGAGCAACGCTTGCTTGTATGCAGCCATTTTGGCTGCCTTTAGATTCTCGCCTTGTTCAGTGGCTATGACCTCATCATTGATTACAATCTCAGCTGTTTTCGACGTTTCCATCGTTTGGGTTTCAATCGAGCGTTCGTCGTACTTCATTTTGGCCAAATTACAAGAATTGCGCAGGCAACTGCGACCGCCGGCTAAATAAATTATCAAGTTCCCAAAACGCAAGCCTTGGAAGAGATCGAGTGGAGCCCCGCCGCCGAAACACATCCGATCGACGCTGCTGGTGGATTGGCTTTCGAATTGGGCTTGTTTCTTCTGCAATGGCTGTTGGGAGCGGCCTAATTGATTTGGAATACGTGTAATCAGGATTCGTGGGTTTCACGATCACATATATACTAAATAGATATTTATATATATTTATATATTTACGAGTAATATATAAAACATTTTCTTCCGTCTCTAATAGTACATCTATGATATTATTATTTTGGATTGTTCCGTCTACCTTTGGCCCGCTGTTCGGCTGCGTCCGATGCGTTGACAAATGTGCGCTTCAGCCGCAGCGACCGCTTCTGCCGAAACTCTTCGGCAATCTCTTTTGACAACTCGGCGACCAAGAGCATTGTTTCCGATGGATATTTGCAACCCAGAAATTCCATGTTGATGAATGTCTGTGCCAGGCATACCAAACGCTCCTCGTCGAAGCGATCCTTGTGTGCCATCATAAAGTCACGGCGCAGTTGCCAGTGTTCCTCGCTCTCGTATTCCGTTCGGTAGCTATCTACGTCCCAGTCGGTGTTAATTTCGCCGGCAGTCACATTTTTTTTGGACTTCTTTTTCGTACGGCTCTCTTTCGATGTGCTGGGCTTTTCGTCGTCAATCCTTGGTCGCTTGGCCACGGTTGCCATTTTATATCAACTAAAGTTAACTTATTCTATTTTATATATAATATCACTAATATTTATTGTGTATGGTTTTTTCTAAAACGAAAAAAACCTGGCACGCTGCTTGGAACTGCTCGATAACAGCACTGAGGTTAATCGCCAGTCGCAGTTAATCGCAAACTTATTACTATCGATAACAATTTCTCCACCTGGCTCTCTCTGCCAGCCTTGTGTGCCCGTGTTGTGTGTTTTTTGATTTTTCTGGTTTTTGTTAATTTTAATTTCGTGTACCGAGTGGACTGTGAACGTTTTAAGTGTTTTTAAACCAAACTTGCATGCTGCAAGTTTTAACGTCGGCCTGGAATAACACGTAAACAACCCCAAGAGGACCAATAGCAGCCGCCAACATGAGCATACCCAACGAATATATTGCAAAAACGGAAGATGTGGCCGAACAGGTAATTCTCTTAGGATCATAATCCGTGAAAGTAGCTAAGTGCTCCACTTACAACTGTTTGAAGAGCACTGGCAATTGGTCTAATCAACATCTAATTGGAAAAATCAGAATACCACTTGAAGCAAAAGCAATAGAAAACTGCCAACGTCATCCAAACGCGGCAAAGTTCGAAGCTCAATCGCAGCCATAGTATCTGGCTGCAAGTGCTCCATGGTGGGCTCCAGGACGTATTAGATTCATGGTTGGATAGCTACTTATGAAAAATGCCCAAAGAATCCAGGAACTAGTATCTAATAGAGAGTACGCCATATGCGGTTACGATTTGCGTCTGTATGTGTGTGCGTGCGTGAGTTATTATGTGTGTGAGTGTGCTTAGTCCATACTAGTGAAAGTGGTGAGAGTGAGCGGCATGAATGTTGCGTCGTCCATCTCGAACTAGTCAAGTTCCGTAATAGCTTTAGGAAATGGAAATCTGGCAGCCAGCTTAAACACTTACATATACTTACACTGGGTACCTAATCAGAGAGTTTGTGTATGTGTGTATATATAATAGTATGTGTGTGTGTGTGTGTGTTTCAGTGTGTCTGCTCATGTATCAATATATTCAAATTATGCATTAAAGCTAGGCATGAAAACCCGTTACACTCTGAGAGAGATGGGGAGATAGCGTGGCTCACATAAAGTATAGCGCGGAAGAGCAGCTGAGCGACACGTCATGACCCGCCACTGTCTTGCCAAATCAACACTGTCTTGTCAAAAAAAAAAAAAAAAAAAAAAAAAAAAAAAAATGCCCACAACAAAATGAGAGCCACGCTCCAGTATGTTGTAAATTTCTGAGCTCTTATCACAATCAACTTAAGTGGACGATTCCCCGGCGATATGCCAATAGTTGCTTCTTTTTAACTTCTCTTACTCGCTATTCACTTATCAATTACCCTTGCCGGCGCACGCAAATATGTATTTTAATGCATCTCTTCAAAATACTCCCGAAAAAAAATATACATAAAACCCTACTTAAATAAAGCGAAGTAAATAATTACAGCAATTAGTATTTTATTTATAGCAAACGAGTTTAGATTCGCAGACTCGTATTTACATAACATTTAGAATGTTCAGTTCTGTGTGAAATTTGCCGGGCTTCTGTAGAGATTATAAATAATTATATTGCATTTGAGATCTTATGATAAAAAGAAATATTTATACATACATATATAAGACCACAACACCTAATAGAACCCAAAAGAAATTAATTTATTTCAATTTTATTTATTAAATACAAATTCTAAAACTAAAACTTTTTTACCTATTTTAAAAATTGGGTTAGCAATTTTAATAAAACAAATATTTTTAATTTTAATTTTTTAATAGTTTTTTTTTTATTAAATTACCATTTTTTTTAATAACTTTAATTATTAGAAAATTATTTATTTTTACTTTTCGTCGGTTTTTCTGAGTGTATTCCCGTTACAACACTATCACATCCACACAATCAGAATCCTACGTACACACTCACACACGCAAACACACAAAGAGATTATATACAATCGAAAATTTGTTATCAATAAATGTTTGTTGTTATTTCGAATTCTATTTTAAGGTTATCAAGCGCGGCAAATACGTGCTACCGACTGTTGCACGATTATGCCTGATCGCCACCTTCTTCGAGGATGGCCTGCGCATGTATTTCCAATGGAACGAACAGCGCGAATACATGGACATGAGCTGGGGCTGCGGCAAGTTCTTGGCCACAGTTTTTGTGCTAACGAATCTGCTGGGACAACTGGGCGGCTGTGGCATGGTAATGGCTAGATTCAAGGTAGACATTGCGGTCGGTCTGCTGTTCTTCATTGTGGTGCTACAGGTGAGCTACGGAAGGTGCTAATTGCCTCAGCAGATTATGATTAATTTGACTTTAATTCGTACTGTAGACAATCGCGTATTCCATACTGTGGGACTTCCAGTTCTTGCTACGTAACTTTGCTCTGATCGGCGCTTTGCTGCTGGTGTTGGCCGAGGCTAGGATCGAGGGACGCAGCTTATTTGCCGGCGTGCCATCGCTGGGCGAGAACAAGCCCAAGAACTTCATGCAGCTGGCTGGTCGCATTCTGCTTGCCTTCATGTTCATCACACTCATCCGCTTCGAGCTGAGCGTGTGGAATATCATTCAGGACATCATTGGCTCCACCTTGATGGTGCTCGTTGTGCTGGGCTACAAGACAAAGTTGTCGGCGTTAATTTTGGTTGCGCTGCTGACGGTGCTCAATCTATATCATAATGCCTGGTGGACAATTCCCTCGTACAAGCCTCTAAGAGATTTTTTGAAATATGACTTTTTCCAGGTAAATATTTCTATGGCCAACTTTTATATTCATATGACGTATAACTGTTATTTGGCATATTACAGACACTTTCGGTTATCGGGGGCTTGCTCATGATAGTCTCCCTGGGCCCCGGTGGCGTGTCCATGGACGAGCACAAGAAGAAGTGGTAGAGCTTCTTCTATACCTATAAATGCAAATTTGACTTCAATTGCGATTAACTCTTGAATGAGATCATTTAGTTAGAATTACCATAAAATGGAACAACAGGAGATGCACAACAACAACAACACCGAATAGAACCCGAAAGAAAGAATGAAAAAATGTTATAAAAAACTTGACTTATTTGATAAATTGATAAGGGACTTCCGCAATATCCAGGCTATAATGCTACGGCCCACCAAACAACAAAACAAAAACAAAAATGGAAAAAAAAACATTCGAGCACGTTCAAGGAATCAACAAACTCTTCGTATATACATACATGTAAGACATTTCATTTTGTACATAAAATACGGCTATTTTATGCCCCAAATGAGAGACATTAACTGATTTTATATTTGATTATATCTGTCCACGCATATATACATATATAATTTGCAAAACTCTTTACTCTTACCTTGTACGCGCAATTTTTAAGTTAATAATTTGTTGTATGAAGTTCGGATTATGATAACGGTGTATAAAATATGATGAATTGTACCAATTGACGATGATTTGTTTCTTTCGTTTATAAGCAAAAGTGTAATAGAATTAAATTGTAACGTTTTAATAAACAACTAAAATTATCCACTGATTGTATATCTTTTGAAATTGGCGCCAAATGAATTTGATTGTAGTTTCTTTCTCTTTGATACCGATGACAAGGGCTGGCGAAAAGTATTTAACTTGTGAATGTTGGGCTGGTGAAAAAAAAATAAATTATCGATATATTTTCACCGATTTTTCGATAAGGAACACAATATTTAAGATTATTTTAAAATCAGTAAAGCTTTCCGAAATATATTAACACATGAATAAAAGTAAAAAGCAAATAACTAGGAAAACAATAACGTTTAGATGGAAAACAAACCCACCTTTTCGCGTACGCGGCGTACAAACAGATCCGCCACCCACAAATGATATTGGCATCCAATGCCAACGATTCGATGGGGACGAAGATTGGTTTGAGTCTCTGCCGACAACCGAATCGAATGAAAATCGGGATGAGGAAGGAAAATTTCTGGCGTTTGTTAGCCAGCACACCACCAGGTTTCCCAATGCTATGCTCGGGTGCCTCTTGTGTGGAGAAGTGGCTAAAAATCTGCAAATGCATCAGCGACACGTGAGATTGCATTATGGACCGCAATCGCTGTGCTCCGATTGTGGTAAATTCGTCAGCCACGAGGATTTGCTCGCACAGCACAAGTACAATTGCAAAGTACATGTCCATCCCAGATCCCGGCCACAGATGCACATGCAGTGCCCCCATTTGCACTGCACTTTTATGATCACATCGAAGACGCAGCTTCGCCAGCATCTAAGGAAGCACTTGGTCTCCAAGCCATATTATTGCTTGTCGTGTTGTCAGAGGTTTAGCTCTACAACACACTTCCTGGTGCACCGCATGCAGAGCACCACTTGCCGATCGGTCAAGCCCTATTACCTTGCCAATAACTCGACGAACTTGCGCCACAAAGCGAAGATCAATCGCTGCTCCGTTTGCCTGAAACTCTTTAGTAATGCCTATCGCTACCTGCAGCACAAACGACGCTGCATCCAGCAGTATCAGCGGCGTCTGCGCATATTGCTGAGAGATTCAAAATTGTAAATATATAATATAAAGACTTCAATATAGGTAGTAATATAGAGTAAAAAGTCGTCATGAAATAAAGATCTGACCATAGTTTCCAGATTTACTTGCAGAACGTAGGATTGTCGTGGGTTGAGAAATCATAAAATGAATTCATTTAATTCTGCCTATCATGTATTTTTATTAACAATAATAAAGATGTTTTTATCTTATGAGGCTTGCACGCCGTGGGCCTTCTTCAAGCCCTTGAACAACTGCAGCTTCTCCAGATTCACCTCCTTGAGCGTCTGCACCGCCAGCTCCAGTTGCACCTTCTTGAGCGCATGCTCGCTTCCAATGTATTGTTCGATGAATTTCAGGCTGATTTCGTCAGCTGCGAAATCTTGCTCCGTTTTGCCAATGGCCGTTTGGATCTCCTGCTCAATGCCCTTCTCGGATGGCTTCTTCAAGCAGCTGAGCAGCTCTTCGAGCGCACGCTCGGCGGGCGTCGGCTGCAGTGCCTCCAGCTGGCTAAGCGTTTGGCCATATTCCACGGGCACGTTGTGTATCTTATAGCTAAGCGCGATCAGCTGCACGGCATTGCTTAGATAATCGCGTCGGATCATATCGTACAGCAGATCGTCGATGCATCGATGCCAGGCGTAGAAGAAGGCCATGGGTCCAAAGTGTCGGGTGGAGCGGAGCAGATCGAATTGCTTCGATTCATTTAAATGCGTAAAGACTTTGGCTGAAATGTTGTGGAACTCGGCCTCGTAGGGTTCGTATTGCACCGTCAGGCGATCCAGAATGAACTCATATTTGTGATCGTCCAGGCAACGCTGCAGCAACTGCTCCTCGCTGAACATGCGCGGCGTGTAGGATCTGCGGCCAACCAGTGGGAAATACAATTGATTCATGCGCTTTTGGGTCTCTAACGGGGCATAGGCCAAGGTGCCATCCACATCACGTACCACCACCTTGCGGTCCGATGGCCGCAGACCGAATGTGATGTCGGTGAAAACGTACTTAGAATCGGCAAAGTCTTTTAATGCTGGATCCTTGGATATGATGCGCTCGGTGTCCTTTTTGATCTGCACAACCGGTGGCATTTGCAGCAATTTCTTGGCCTTTTCGATGGTTAGCACAAACTCCTTTTCTAGCTGTTCGGTGGTCATGAATTTCGTTTCCGTGCTGTTGTCCTCAACGGTTCGCTTCCGGAAGACCTTCTCCAGCTGCAGTTGCGTCATGGATTGAAGCAGCCGCTGCGTTTCGGCATCTGTGAATAGCGGCTGTGGATCTTTGTCGTATTGCAGGCTGGCATCGGAGAGGCTGCGTCGCGTTTGGTCCACGCCCAGCTGCAGTCGTTGCGCTGCATTTAGTTTGCGCAATTGTCGTAAAATTAACATTTTTAATTCAATAAAACTGCAAAGTAGAGCCAAAACACACGAGCCAAAGACTTGCAGTGCTGTAAATTGTTTTACGGTCAATGTAGTCGCTATGTAGCACTGTTAGGTATCGATCAACAATCAACTATCGTCTACTCAATAACAGCTGTTTGCGTATCCAAGCGAATGGCAATGAAGAAGAGTTTTCACAGGTTTGACGTTTATTTTTTTTAGCTGCTGTTTTTTTTTTTTTTCTTGGCCAAAAAAGTTGAGTTTTCTCGTAAACGAAGACAATTTGGCTTGCAGCGCGCTCAACAACATGAATAGTGTACATAACGCTTTTGTTGCTGCGCAAAAGCGTCGCTTGTCCGACTGCGAGCACAAGCAAGCGGACGCGCCCCAACCGCTGCCTCAGGAGCAGCCGGAGCCGAAACAACGGAAGACAGAACAACAGCAGCAGCCGCAGCAGCAGCAGCAGCAGCAGCAAGTGCAACAACAACAGCCACAAAAACATTGTCTGCTGAGTTTTTGCAATGAGCTGCTCTATGAGATATTCAAGTATTTGGACACAGCCTCCATACTGGCGATGATGCTGTGAGTGAAATTACGACAGCCCTTTGTTCCTATATGTGTGGTAATATCTATTGTTTCTCGTCAGCTGCTCGCCGCACCTGGAAAGTTTCCTTCTGGATCACCGCTTCTGGCACAATATTGATCTCAGCAATGCGCCGCTGCCGTTGGGCATCCTGGAGGAGGTGCTCGGACGTGCCACAGAGAAGACGCACACCATCAAGATTCGTGGCCCACCCTCGTCGCAGCATGTTGCCGGCGAGTTTAAGCAATTCACCTGCACCCTGACCTCAGTGTTCCCCAAGGTGGCCACACAGCTTAAGGTTCTTGAATTACAAGGCGTTAGTCTGGATTTTGAATACGTGCGTATCCATATACATACATACATGTTGCTAAGATTCATATATAATAACTTTTTCTGCTACTTGTAGATACATATATCGGAGTTTCCTTCATCACTAAAGCGGCTAAAACTTAAGGATTGCAGCGTCAAGGTTGGAGATCATGTCAAAAGTATATTTCACACTATAGAAAAGCAATTGATTCACTTGGAGGTAGGTATATCCCTATAACCAATTGGTATATACGTTGTCTAATACGTGTTTTACGTGTAACAGGATCTTAGCATCGAGGATAACAACTGGTTTGAGCCCTACTATATTATGGCGTTATCGAAGCTGCCGTCGTTGCGCCGGCTCAGCCTGAAGGGCTGCCAAATGATGTGCAAATTTGTGCCCTACGGTAGCATGGCAGCCCGCTTTGGTTTTCAAAACTTGGAGGTATGCTACAGCTGCATATATGAATAGATATAGAACCTAACGACTTTTTCTAACTTTGCACAGGTCCTTGATTTGCGTTTGACGCCCATTAACAACTCAGATCTGCAGTGCTTTAGCGCCATTGAGGGCTTGAAGGAGCTGCTGCTGGAATCGCCCCCCAATTTGCCTCAGGAACCGCCCTGTCCCACAAAAACAACAAATGGCAATGTGCCGGGTACCGAGGAGTCGCCTGTCCCAGTGCCAGATCAACTGAAAATGTTGAACGACGATGAGCCGTCAACATCGCGCGCAGCCATGGAGCACTTACGTGCGTGCAAAATAGCTGCCCAGAGTCAGGATGCCAACGCAGAGGCACCCAAGCCAGCCAGCGAAACATATACTTCGGATAACTGCAATTTTAGAAAGGATGCGAGCGATGCGGCCAAGCCCTCCGGCAGCACAGCCAAGCGCAGTGGCTGTCTCTCATCCGGCTCGGATGATGAGGACACCTCATCCACGTCTGCGTCTTCCTCCGATAAATCAGATAACGCTGCGGCGCACAGCACTGGACATAGCTCCTCCGATCCGGATGGCAACGGGGGCATACAGTCGCCCCTTGTAGTCATCGCTTTGCCCAGTGTCGCGCGTCATTCGCCAGCTCCCGCCGAAAATCAACAGAGTGCTGATGAAAATCCTGAGCCTGCGCCAGCGGCAGCAGCAGCAGTAGCAGCAGCAGATGCAGATGCTGATGCAGCGTCGGCAGCGGCAGCCGATGCGGCAGTAGGTGCTGCAGCAGATGGCGGCGTTGAGGCACCACGCGCTTACATCTATGTGCAGAACGGTCCACCGGTCGACGGACAGCGGCCACAGGTGATGGCCTCGCTGATCGAGCAGATGGTGGATCAGATACACACGCTTCGTGGCAATCAGCCGGCGCACAGCCGGTTCCTGAGGCGTCGCGATCAGGTGATCTATATGAATCCACAGGCGATTGCTGAGCCGCTGTTGGTCATGCAGTCACGCCGCACACATCGCATCCAGCCACGCGGCAATCTGGAGCAGGTTGTGCAGCATCCGATGTTCTGGAATATGCTCGATCCCTTGGACAGGGACTATTCCCGGCGGATGCGCTGTCGACCGCCGGTCAGCCAGCTGCCGCCCCAATGCTATGTCTCGGATCGAGCAATGTATAGCTTCGGGCGTGCCTATCCCGTGCAATCGGACGTCGTTTGGATACGCAACTCAAATCGTTCGTCCAACAATCGACTCGAGCGGATCGAGCTACGCAATTATCCGCACATCACAAACTATACGCTGGAGCATCTGGTGCAATGCTCGCCAAATCTCGTCTACATCGATGTGAGCGGCACGAGCGTAACCTCATTGGGCCTGCGCAAGTTCAAGAAGCTCAAGCCCGAGTGTGAGGTAGTTGCAACACATTTAAGCATGGACGAGCAGCCGGAGCAGGGCGAGACGGAACTCCTTGTGCAAGTGCAGCCGGAGAACGAAGAGCAGCAGCAGCAGCAGCAGCAGCCACCACAGGACGAAAACTTGGACGAAGTTGCAGCTGAAGCCGGAGCCGACGCTGAAGCAGAACCTGAACCCCAACTGGACGCGCCTTAAGGATTCCTAAAATAGGCTTGACAAAATTAAATCTCTTCCTCCTTCGCTCCTTTACAAATGCTCCACGCTGTGGCGCAGAGTTATTTAGTATTATGTTTGGAACACACACTTACATGCTATACTATATATATGTATATCTTATATATGTTATAGAGAGAAGCATATATATAATATATATCCTATATAAATATACATAAACACACATGAATATATATGTATGTATGTCTGGCTTGATGAAATTTAACAATTTGTTAAGCATTAAACAAAAACAAACAACAATTGAGAAACCATTATGGAATTCAGTAACTAACTGATGAAATGTTTATTTGGTAGCCGTCGAAAGAAAAAAAAACTTCAAGTGGACAATTCAAACGTTCAGTTGCTCTATCTGTGAGCCAACTTTCGTGAAAAACTTAGGAATAACATTCAAACAGAAAACACGTGTGAAAATTCAATACACGGTTAACTAGTGGTTAAAAATAACTGCATCTGTTACTTGTCATTTTCGTTGTTGGAAGACTCCTCCTCTTCCTCCTCGACCTCGGATTCATCCTCGCTGTCCTCTGTCTCCGAGTCCGAGGCATCTGAGCTCTGACAGTCGGCGATTTCGCCAGTAAAGAAGATAACGGCCTTCGGTATGACGCGCTCCTTCAAGTAGAAACCCAACTCAAAGTCGTTCTGCAGTATGGCCTGACGGGATTCAAACGGAATGCAAAAGGTAATAATACGAACAATCTTAAATTTCTAAAGTCATGGCTTACGTTTATGTCACTAAAATTGGGATCCTCGGGATCATCCGGCAGAACTGGCGGCGTAAAGAAGTCAAAGAATGACGGCTGATCTGTGGATGAAAATAAGTGGAATGTGATCTAAAACTCATTGGGTCAGAAGGATAAGTTCTAAGACTCATAAATTGCTAAGATGTCCAAGTCTCAAGATTCTAAATTTCTAATAGTCCCAAGTTTTAAGACTTCCGACTTGCTGAGCTTTATATGTATATTATAACGTACCATTTTTCTCGCGCTCCAAAGATGGTTTCCAGTCGATGTGGCAGCCTTCGCATTTGACTATCTCAGCGCCGTCATAGGACAATGGGTCCTCCTTGTCGGGCACACAGTTCAAAATGTAGGTCTTTGTCAATACACGATTCTTGAAGTAATCGTTCTTCTCAAAAGTAAACTCGATGACAAACTTAACGACGTCTTCATTATAGTGCTTGGTTCGTATATCACATAAGTACTGAAAAAAAGTATATAAAGAGATCTCATTTAGAAGTAGAGCTATCTTTACTCACCGATAAAATTTTCTCATCCTCCTTGCCGATGAATTCGGTGTAGGAGGCTTTAAGCACTTTGAGCCAAAAACGTGCCACACTGTCATTGGAATTAGAATCACCATGAATTTGTTTCTTGTATTCCCTAGGAGTATATTCATATAAAGTTGATTAGTTTATTGATCTATTTAATGTGGAAGAAAGTCTATACAAATATTTGAAGAAGACTTAGGTTAGATCAGATAAAGTTAACCTTAAGATAGATCAAGGTATCCATACAACTATTAGAAGCTAATGCTAATCATTATCAACATCATATTTAACTTACTCAAGCAACTTTTTGCGCTTGTCGAATATCTCGTTGTGTTTCTGCTCGTAAAGTTTTTCCATATTGTAAATTTCACGCTGCATCTTGACATCTAGATTGATGGTATCCATATACAGTTGCTTTAGTTCACCAATAATTTTCTTCTCATCCTCTGAAAAGTCCTATGGAAAAGCATAAAAATCTTTAGTCACTATACACAAACGCGTTCACTGTACGAAACAATGCTGTACATTTTTCTCAGATTTGCCAAGTGGCTGCGGCAAGTTGACCTTTAGCTTAGCGGAATTACGTGCTCGAAGCGGCTCCATGATATCTTAATAATTTGTATAAACTGTTTCGTGTCAAGTGAAAAATCGCACAAAATTTACGTTCGTTCTTAAAAATTTACAAAAAAAATATATTCTACATCTGATGGAAATGTATTGTGGGCTGTTCCAGCACAAATGATTTCAAAATTTCCCATTCGATTGTCATCAGCCACGTGCGACGTCGAAATCAACGCTTGCTTGGAAAGCGACAACACATTTGTCCGTATGTGTGCTTTCTACCTGCTTGCCGATTTCCCTTTCTGCATGCCTTCTTCATTGAGCGTGTGTGCGTCGTGCCTGTGCCTCGCTGCCCCTGAGCAGAGCATGCGAGTTCTCTTACAAGCTTTGGCTCTTGCTTCGCCCACACACGAGCGAAGCTTTCATGGCAGACTCATTCAGGGTATTTAGAGTGCGGCGTGCGAATGTGTTTGGCTTTGCTAGTTTCCAAGTTCGCGAGTCGCGACTATTGTAGCTATGTTTTGTAGTATGGAAAACTGCCGTTATAGCAGGACGAGTGCGTCTGTAGTTGTGTCGTTTGTGGCTCGTTGGTAGGCACAAGAAATTAGAGAGACAGAGAAGCCAAAGAATGGACCGTCAATCGCGAAACTCGCTGCGAGAAAAGGGAAACAGTTCGCTATAACATACATAGATACATGTACATGTGTGCATAGTATATATGTACATATGTATGTATGTATGTATGTCTAAATTTGCAGTGATTTGAGTCTAGTAAAGAGTAAAGATTGTTTTGGCTATGAGAGCTCATGCAATAAAATAACTTAATATACTTAATATACTGGAGTATCTACTTTATATTATTATTTTATTTTATTTTATTTTTTTTGTGGTTTTGGTATATACTAAACTGATAAAGGTAACTGTAACTAAGGCTATAGCGGGACATGGCAAATACAGGCAGCTCGTGCTCCTAAATCGTAGATTGAAAATACAATAGAATCCGGTTGTAATGGCGCTCAAGGGATCATGGGTATACCCGGAAGCTGCTTGAACCGTATAAGTTTGATCATATGCATATATACATACATACATATGTATATGTATGTATGCACATACAATGTACATACATATGTATGTATGTAAGTATATACACATCTATACACTTCTAGATACATACATACATATGTATATACATACATACATATGTATATACATATGTATATACATACATACATATGTATATACATATGTACATACATACATAGATACATACATATACATACATATGTATAATAAAATTGTTTTTGCACAGTTGCACAGAAAAGATGAAATGCTACTTAAACAATGTCTAAATTTGGATCCCCAAATATGTGCATACATATGTACATACATACATATGTATGTATGTACGCATGTAAAATATGAATCCTAAAGACTTTAGTTAAAGGAACAGATTTACAGGATTGAAAGTTTACATTACTTCGCATCAAGATTTTTGTTGTTATATAATATGGGATAGTATTTAAAAATTAACGAATCTTAATAATGTGTATCATTTAATATAAGGCAAACTTTCAAAAATAGACTTTCCATACCTTCCCACTAGTCAACCCAAGCAGACGATATTCTCAGAAGTAATTATTATGTATATTAAAAGCAGTGAAGAACCCTTTAACCAAGCTCTGTTTATGTGAATTTGCTGTTTTCTTTGGACTCTCCGTTTTTCGTATTTTCCGGCGTATATTTTAGCGCCTATTAAAATGCTGGCCATGTTTATTGGCAATTTAACGCACATTTAATTTTTGGCGTTATTTTTTTTCTGTTCGTCTTTTTCTTAAACTTTTCATTTGGCATGCAATTAAGTGTTGTCTTCCCTTATTTTGGGGGGAGGGGTGCAGGGGGAGGTGTATGGAGTTGTGGGCGTGTCTTGTGTTGTATGCAAATCACGTGCTGTTGCTCAAGGGTTCTGTAGCTGGTTCCATTTACGAGTTTGTTTAATGAGCCGCACAGCACAAGTTGCAAGTCGTCTGTCGGCTGTCGGCAGGCGGTAGTCGACAGTCGACAGTCGGTGGTTGCCTCATGAGGCAAGTTTAATAATGTGACAGGCTTAGCGCCATATGTCAGGGCCAGCAAAAAGTTTTCGAACCGTTTTGACAAACACTTAAAAAAGAGTCAATCCAAATTTTTGGCGATTGGCTGACTTATAGATGCCCTGTACGCGAATGGGACAAGGAGGACAACGAAAAAGAGAAAGAGAGAGAGAGAGACAGAAGCAGAGAGAGAGAGAGAGAGAGGGAGATAGATAAATATATAGATAGATAGATAATAGATATAGAGATAGATAGATAGATAGATAGATAGATAGATAGATAGATAGATGGATGATAGATAGATGGATAGATGATAGATAAATAGAGAGATAGATAAATAGATGGATGATAGATAGATAGATAGATATATAGATAGATAGATAGATAGATAGATAGATAGATAGATA